GCCCCTCTTGGAGCCATGTTGAGGCCTCCGATTGGTTTTCCTTAGGTTTTGGTGGTGTTTATATCATGGTGGTCACAAGCTGGAGCGTTTTTTCGTGTCAAGGCCACCCAGGGGGTATCTAAGATCTAAGCTGGTTGCACCACGTGTTTTCACGTGTCCAGGCCACCCAGAGAGGTATCTAACATGGTGGTCCCGAGCTGGAACCTTGGTCTTCACGTGGTCAGTTCACCAAGATGGGGGTCTCTAACATGGCGGCTCCGAGCTGGAGCCAAGTGTTTTTTGTGTGCGGGCCACTCAAGGGGCGTCGGGGGGATCTAACATTAAGTCGGGCCCGTCCCTCTACAGGAGGAATATTCAAAATAGTCAAACCATAGTCTGGGGACGACTGTTTGACCATGTTTGGGCATTTTTGGCGCGTTTGTTTAGTATATTCTAGCGTTCGTCCAAAATCCGCCTGTAGGGGGGCATGCCCGACCTAAATCTAACATGCGTTCGCCTAGGCGCCCCCAGCGTTGGGGCCCACGAGAGCCAGACGAAACCAACAAAATCTAGACCAGATGTGCAATACGTTGACACAGTCTCTACGGCTGGTGATTGTCCAGATTTCCAACTGGGGAATCGAACATGGTGGTCCCGAGCTGGAGCCGCGTGTTTGTGTTACGTGTCCAGGCCACCCAGGTGGATGAGCCACGTGTTTTTCACGCGTCCAGGCCACTCAGGGCAGCATCTAACACGGTTGCCCCGAGCTGGAATCCTGTGCTCTCACGTGTCCAGGCCACCCAGGGGGTATCCAGGATGAGGGCCTCGAGCAGGAGCCACGTGCTTTCACGTATACAGGCCACCCATGGGGGTACTTGGCATGGTGGCCCCGAGTTTGAATCCAGTGTTTTTCCCAACATCCTAAATGGGGTTCTCGTTTGCTCTGGCTCCCCGCGCAGTCCTCACCCACACAATGTCCTCTTCACACATCATCATCATCACCATCATCATCATCATCATCATCATCATCATCATCATCATCATCATCATCATCATCATCATCATTATCATTATCATTATCATCAGCATCAGCATCAGCATCAGCATCATCATCAGCATCTTCATCACTCAGTCCCTCACCCAATCGCTCACCCACTCACCATCATCATCGACATCACTCCCACACTCATTCACACTCTCACACAAACACACGCGCACACTCACACAGTCACACACTCATGCATTCATCTTGCGGAAGTCTAATGCAGGAACCTTGTCTGTGAGTGAAATGTGAGGAAGTCTCAGGCGGGGGGCCCCGCCCTATGGGGCCCGAGCCCCGTTTGTGAATGAGTTGTGAGGAAGTCTCTGGCGGGAGCTCCCTCCCTATGGTGCCCGCGCTTCATATTGGTAACCGGAGCGGGTCATCCAAGCCTGGTAATTGTCGCCATTATTGGGACTTTCGCCTTTGAATTTCGAGGAAGCTTCCCTCCGACGCGAGCCTCGTTTGTGATTGAATTGCGCGGAAGCTTCATGCGGGAGCCCCATCCCTATGGGGCCCGCACTTCATGTTGGTAACCGAAGCGGGCCACTCAAACCTTGTAATTGTCGTCACTTTTGGACCCCTCACGCCTGAATCTTGAAGAGGCCTCAAGCGGGAGATTCATATGTGAGTGAATTGCGAGGAAATCTCAGGCAGGAGCTCCTTCCCTATGGGGCCCGCGCTGCACACTGGTAATCCGAGCGGGTCATGCGAAACCTAAGCCTGTCGCCAATTTTGGGTGCCCCAGCCAGGTTTGAATCGTCAGGGATTCTCAGGCAGGAGCCTCGTCTGTGAGTGAGTCGCGAGGAAGTCTCGAACGGCAGCGCCCTCGCTATGGGGCCCGCAGCTTCATGTTAGAATTCGAGCGAATCCTCTGAATCTCGTGTCTGTCGTCATTATTGGGCTCCTCAGGAATGAAGGGTGATGCGAACCCTCGCGGGCCAATCCGAGCGGGGTCACATTTGTGCTCTTAAGATGGCCACCCGTTCGGCTGAGCCCAGTCCCCCGACGTGGCGATGGCGTCACCATCGACTGCGCCAGGGATGAGGACGCTGGTCGCACAGGCACGTCGGACGAGCAGTTCTGGCTGCACCTCTACGTCATGTTTTCCCGCGCCACGTGCATGCGGAACATGCTGATATTGCGGCCGCCCGCGCGAAAGTTCCTTGAGCGCGGGCCACCAGTGTCCCTGCGGAAGGCGCTCCCAGACCGAGGCGGAGCAGCTGGCAGCACGTCTGGGTTTCGCGCTGCCCCTCGCCTAAACGCGGCCGCGCCCACCTCGAGGCCCGCGGAGTTGCACCAACGGCCTGGCCCGCGGGGTTGTCCCGACGGCCCGCCCCCGCGCCCCAGCGGCCCGCGGGGTTGCCCCATATGCATGGCCCGCGGGGTTGCCCAAAGGCTTCGCGATCTAGCCGTCGGCAAACGCGCGCGTGCTGGTCGAGGCGGCGACGGCGCCGAGGAACATCGAGTTGCTTGCCCCGACCAGGGAGACATGGCGAGGCGCACATGGAGAACAGGCAGGAGGAGGAGGAGGAGGAGGAGGAGGAGGAGGAGGAGGAGGAGGAGGGGGAGGAGGAGGGAGGAGGAGGAGAGGAGGAGAGGAGGAGGAGGAGGAGGAGGAGGAGGAGGAGGAGGAGGAGGAGGAGGAGGAGGAGGAGGAAGAGGAGGAGGAGGAGGAGGAGGAGGGAGGAGGAGGAGGAGGAGGAGGAGAGGAGGAGAGAGGAGGGAGAGGAGGGGAGGAGGGGGGAAGGGGTAGGGGGAGGGTCAAAACACCTTACAGATAGCGAGCCGTCCAGCTCACTCCCACCCCGCCCTCCCAACACAAAAGTGGCACCCGAGCCTCAGCATGTTCCACGGTCGTCTTTTGATGGACAGCTACTGGGAACCAAATCCGAACCCATGTGCACGACGCTGGGGCGAGGTGCGCCGCGCGTGCCAGGCGCGCCACGCGAGCCAGGCACCCCTGCGGCCCGAGCGTGCCAGGCACGCCTAGTGCGCCAGATGCTCCCTTCAGCCGCGCCACGTGCCCCACGTCCGAGGCACGTGCAGAGTGTGTCAGGCGCGCCTGCGCACGTGACAGCACGCATCGGGAAACATGTCGGCCCCCACCATGCTTGTCGAAAACCAATGCCCATCATTGTGTCTGGTGGGCCTGCGCACAGCAGGCCATGCGCCACCACCCCCGCCGTCCCTGACAACAACCACTTGGCAATGATTGCGGGGTGGCCGCGCACTATCCACATTTAGCCGCGAGGTGCATTTTGTATTGTGTGTTCGTCAGGGATGGTAGCCCTGCAAGCGGCAGGCAATATGCTGACACCCTCGCCGTCCCTGTCGAAAAATCATACAAAGTGCTCGCGGGCCTCGCGAACACGATTCCAGAATTTGCCCCAAAGTGTACTGTGCATTGTTTTGTGACAGGGGTGGTGGTGGTGTGGGGGGGGGGGGCGCATCGGGGTGGTTGCGCATGCTCCGAATTTGGAGGCAGAGTGCGTTTTCCATTGTTTTTTGAAAGTGATGGTGGGGGGGCTTTCATGGTGTGCGGATGGTTCCGGGTTGGCTGCCGGCCCGGTGGACGGGGGGTATTAACAGGGAGCACGGATGAAAATGAGAAGGAGGTGGACAAGGAGGAAGAGGAGGATACATAGAAAGAGGAAAAGGAAGAGAGGGCAACAACAAGAGCGAGAGGAGGGTGTCCGCCAGGGCGAGGAGGAAAGGGCTAAGAGCAAGCTAAACAGATTCCAGTGCGGGATCCTACAGTCGGAGTAATTACGTGCCCAGGCCGCCCAGGAGGGGGATATATCTAAGATGGTTGCATCGTGCCCCTCGTTCGGACCACGTGTGTTCATGTGTCCAGGCCGCCCAGGGAGGCATCGAACATGGTGGCCCCGAGCTGGAACCATGTGCTTTTATGTGTCCAGGCCGCCCTGGGAGATATCCACCATGGTGGCCCCGAACTGGAACCGCGTGCTTTCGCGTGTCCAGGCCACCCAGAACCCAGAAGGGGCATCTAACATGACCGAACTGGAACCATGTGTTTTCAAGTGTCGAGGAACACAGAAGGACATTCACCAATGATTGCCCCGAGCTGGAACCGTTTTCACGTGCCCAGGCCACCAAGGGCGGTATAATATGGTTGCCCCCCGCTGACGAGCTGGACTCATGTGTTTTCACGTGGCCAGGCCGCCCTGGGGGCATCTAACATGTTTGTCCCGAGCTGGAACCACGTTTTCACGCGTCCAGGTTACACAGGGAGATACCCAACATGTAGTCGTTTGGCTCTATGTTTGGGCGTCTCGAGCGAGGGCTGCGTAAGTGAATCGGATACTGAGCTCGAGCTGGTCGAGCGCCTCGCGCATTTCGATCGCAACTCGCCCGAGCTATGTGTTCAGGCAGCTCGAGCTGAAGATCCAAATCGGTTCGGTCAGGATTCTGACGCCAAGGACGGCTTCACCCACAATGCAATAGCGCACGGCACAGTTCAACGCGGCATGTCCCTGGCGCGTCCTTTGGCACTTTCATTGGCACGTTCTGTGGCGCGTCCCTGGCACGTTACTATGCGGCGCGGCACAGCGCAGACCAGCACAACACAGCCCTTGGCAGAATATCATTATCATTGATCTCTTCAGCATTGCCACGGCCCGTCGCACAATTGAGTCGTTTGGAAACGTTTCCATGCCTCGCAATTCTGAATCCCTTTCCGGGTTCGTGGGTCGATCATGTTTCAAGCATGAGTTTCCATTGGAAGCTGATGTTAACATGCATAAGACATTTCTTTACATTATTTGTAAAGGCTACTAGAGGCCGCTGAAGGCCACTAACGGCTGCTAAAGGCCGCTGAAGTCAAGTGAATGCTTCTGAGGGGCGACTAAAGGCCACTGAAGGCCGCGAATAACACACTAAAAGCCGCTAAAGGTCACTACAGGCTGCTAAACCGAGGCGGTATATGCTAGAATGAGCCTCCGAACAGACTCGCCTAAAGGTCACGTCCGCCATCTTCTCGAAGCTGTCTGATGCTGGAAGCGTATCGATATTGAAGAGCCTCACCGCGTGAGTTCAGATGCATGGCCACCGCGAGCACGTGGCGGCCCCGAAAGTCGGATGGGGGCGGGACGAGACAACGGCGGCTGGCCTTCAGGGTGACCCGTCGCCGCCAAGGCCGGACGTAGCCCGGAGAGCTGGTGCGTTGGGACCGCGGGAGGGGTCCCGCCATGATTTTCTCATGACGTGGGCCCCCGGGTGGTCTGGACACATTCCCCGGGACTGGTTTCTCATCCTGCCTCGTTCTCTGAAGGTCCCGGGGCCCGGTGGCAGGGCCCTCGCAGGCCGATTTGTTTGTGCTTTATCTTTCCAACAGAAAACCTCCCGTCGCGATACCTCTTACGACGCGAGGAGGTCTGGGGCCGGGGGGCCGGCCGCGAGCTGCCGTCTGTCTCAGCCCGCCCGTGCTCCGAGCAGGGCGCCGGATGGCGCGTGCGCCCCGCCCGCGCCGCCGGGCCGCGGGGCTGCCGGAGCAGCCGCGCGGGGATCAGAGGCCGTCTGGGCCAGGATATTCAGGGATCGCCATGGGCGGCCAATGCGTCGGGCATGTCCCTCTACAGAGGAGGAAGGTTCGGAGATAGTCAGAAACTGGTCTGGGGACGATGTTTCGACCATTCGTTTGACGATTTGGGAGTGTTGTTTCGGACTATTTGTAAATGTTCGCTCAACATCCGCCTGTAGGAGGACATGCCCGACCTAAGGCTACAATGCCGCCCCACATACATGAATCGTTTTTTATCTGCGCTCTTCCAGTGAAGAAGAAAAAACGGCATGAACATAAACTGTTGGCGCTCCGCGCTGGTTTTTTGGACCTGCGCTGCGCGGATCCAAGAAATCCGCGCGAAGGGCCAAAAGTTTACGTTTATGCCGAGTTGTTGTCTTCTTCTACCAATGCCGCCCCACACCAATCGTTTTTCATCTGCGCCGTTCCCACCGTTTTCTCATCAGCCTCAAACTTTGAAGAGCTGAGGTCTGCCCAATGGCAGCTGCAGTAATGTGTTCCAATACCGCTTGCATCTTGCAAGCGAAGGCTCGACTCACGTCGATCTCCTGTGCCGTTCTCCAAAGGAGAGGCGCACGATCCTACAAGAGAAAAGGGCACATGCAGCAACGCGGCGACGAATGCCATAGTACGGTTAAGTCGGGCCCGTCCGTCTACAGGAGGAATATTCAAAGATAGTCAAGAATAGTATGAGGAAGATTTCTCGATTATTTGTTATACATTTGGGGGCATGTTTTGGGTATCTTTTATTTTTCGTCCAACCCACCTGCAGGGGGGCACGCCCGACCTAATAGTATAGCGGCAATGCAATCATCACAGTATCCAGGCGCCTGCGGCAAGTCCCGCCACGGTGCCAGCTCGACTCCTTGGCTGGCCAAGCGTCGAGCACCGAAGGCGGTCACGTCTGACGCACGTCGTCTGCACTCCTCGAGGACTCATGGAGGTCACTTGGGCCTCCTTGGGCTCCTGTGGACCATTCCTCGGGATTCCTTGGGGCTCTCGTGGGCCGCCTTGGCCACCTTGGAGGCGTCTAGGGCCGCCTGGGCCTGCAGGAAGCCCGACACGGAAGAGACGCCCCAATTCCCCCAAAACAGTCCGTGCACTTAGGGGTTCTTGCAATGAGTCCGGCGAGGACTTTCCACGTTGCCGCCTGTGACCGCCTTGTTGCCGCCTCGTGCGCTGGATCTGTCCGGCGAGGTTTCGCCGCGTTGCCGCCCGCGGCCGCCTCGTGGCCGCTTCGTGCGCTGGGTGTGTCCGGCGAGGTTTCGCCACGCCTGGTGCGTTGGGTGGGTCCGTCGGGCTTTCGCCTCGTGGCCGCCTCGTGGCCGCCTCGTGCCCTGGGTGGCCGCCTCGTGGCCGCCTCGTGCCCTGGGTGGGTCCCGCGAGGATTCGCCGCGCTGCCGCCCGTGGCCGGCGAAGTTTCGCCACGTTGCCGCCTCGTGGCCGCCTCGTGCCCTGGGTGGGCCCGGCGAGGTTTCGCCACGTTGCCGCCCGTGGCCGTTCCGTTGCTGCCTCTAGCTTGCACCACGTATATGCACCACATAACTTTCGCCACATAGCCTGCACATCCACAGTACATTATCTTACTGTTTGGGACCGCGATGGCAAATATCTTTGAAAGGCCAAAGGACATGATACAATTGTCGGTTTCTTTGGGCTCTACTGGAAGTCATCTGGTGTCCTTCTTGGGCCGTCTTGGGGGCCTCTTGGGCCCCCTTGCTGCTATCTTGGTGTGCCTTGGGGCCATCTACATTGGGGGCCAGAGGAAAGGACGAGGAGCAGATGGAGACGCAGGAGGTGGAGCCAGATCAGGACGAGGCGATGAGGATGCCACGGATCAGGTCAAATTAGCCAGACGGTGCGCTTCCGATGCATTCCTCCTCCTTCTCCTCCTCCTCCTCATGCCCTGGATCTGTTTTGCGGCCGCTTCCCGTTCTGCCTCCCCCTTCCTTCCGTGTGTCCTTCGCTGGCCCAGCCGTCGCCAAGAGGACCCCGAGAGGCCTCCGACCAGCGCCCAGGAGGCCCCTCAGAGGTCCCAACGGAGGCCCGAGGGCAGCCTCGGGCGCTCCTGGCCGTCCCCACTGCAGCACCGACAAGCACCCTCCAGGGGCCCTCGCTGCTTCTGCATCCCAGTCCTCGCGCCCTTGGTCCCTCTTTTCTTCGTCGTCCTCCGATGTTTCGTCCTTCTTGTGGTCCTCGTCATAATCCTCCACGCTGTTCTTCACTTTGCCTTCCTCGTGGTCGTCCTTCGCGTCGACATCGTCCTCTCCCGCCTTGTCCAACTCGTCCTGATCGTCGTCGTTCATCTCCTCCTCGAGAGCCTGTCCTCCTCCTTGTCCTCCCCGTTCCCCACCCCTTATCGACGCTGTTCTCCTTGTCTTTCACGCTGCAGTCCTCCTATCCCTCCACATCGATCTTGTCGTCCTGTTCCTTTTTGTGCTCGTTTTCCTCGTCTTCATCATCCTCATCCTTGTGTGTTTGTCTTCCTCCTCGCAGTCATCCTCGCTCTCCCCTTGCCCTCAGTGCTGCCCGCCTCCGCCTCCGCACCCGCCTCCCTGTCATCCTCCTCGCTCTGTTTTCAGCATTCGGCTTATACGAGTCGGGTGGACACGAGCGGCACTTCCCTTTTTTTTCTGGCAGGCTTGCGACCATTCTCGCCATGATCCATGATACAGGGGGACGGAGGAGGAGGAGGAGGAGGAGGAGGAGGAGGAGGAGGAGGAGGAGGAGGAGGAGGAGGAGGAAGCGAGGAGCGAGGAGCGAGGAGCGAGGAGGAGCGAGGAGGAGCGAGGAGGAGAAGAGGGAGGAGGAGGGTAGGAGAGAAGGAGAGAGGAGAGGAGGAGAGGAGGAGGAGGAGGATAGGGAGGGGAGGAGGAGGAGGAGGAGAGGAGGAGAGGGGAGAGGAGAGAGAGAGAGAGGAGGAGGAGGAGGAGGAGGGAGGAGGAGGAGGAGGATGTGAAACCAACTTTGCAGACCCTGCCGTCCTGGCGCAAACTTAGCCACTGGTGCCAGCTGCCAGGAGGTATACCGGCGACGTGCACCGGAGGTCCAATCCATGCTTCCGTCTCGCCCCCAAATGGGCGCCGAGGGCCCTTTGGCGAAGAATGCAAAGATGAAGTGGCAGTCATTATTGCGAAGGCCTTACGGCCAGCGCCGCCGACCCTGAATGGCGACGACGACGACGACGACGACGAGGACGACGACGACGACGACGACGATGACGACGAGGACGACGACGACGACGACGACGACAACGACGACGACGATGTGCTATTTTTTTTCATTCGCGCCCCTCGCCCCCTCCTTTCCCCTCCTCCGCCTTCCCCTGGTCCTCCCATTCCTTCCACTCCAGTTCCCGATGCTGCTGTTCGTCGTCCTCCTCCCTCCTCGTCCTTCGCCTTTTCCTCCCTGTCGTCCGTCGCCTCCTCTCCCTCCTCCCTCCATGTACGCAGCTTCCTCTCTCCGATTGCGCATGCCACGGTGGGATTTGTTTGGGAGTTCCGGACCAGCGCTATACCACGCGTCCGCGGATGGAGAAAAAGCATCAACGCAAGGGGAAGGGATGGGTCGGAGGGGCAGGATGTCTGGGAAATCAACATGTACCAATACGTACCGCTACTCCCCGAACCTCCCCTGGGTGCGATTGGACCAGGATTTCGAGGCGAAGCCAGTGGTGGCGACGATGGCGTCCCAGGAGGCCCAAAAAGGGCAAAACGAGGCGAGGGTAGCGTCCCAGGAGGCCCAAAAGGGCAAAACGAGGCGAGGGTAGCCGTATGGGGACTTCTTCCTCCTCCGGAGGTCAGACGTGGCGCGAGAGCGCGCCCAGCCTGCCGCCCCGTCCCTCTCCCGCCTGCCATGTCCCGGCGAAGACTGGATTGGCGAGGCCCGAAGCACCCACCCTCCTCCTCCTCCTCCTCCTCCTCCTCCTCCTCCTCCTCCTCCTCCTCCTCCTCCTCCTCCTCCTCCTCCTCTCCCCTCCCTCCTCCTCCTCCTCCTTCCTCCTCCTCCTCCTCCTCTCCTCCTCCTCCTCCTCCTCCTCGGCCTCCTCTCCTCCGCCCATCCCCTTCTCGTCGCCCTCCTCCTCCTCTTACTTCTCCTCCTCCTCTCCACCTCCTCCTCCCCGCCTCCTCCGCCCTCCTCCGCCCCTCCTCCTCCTCCTCCCTCCTCCTCACCTCCTCCTCCTTCCCTCCTCCTCCTCCTCCTGCCTCCTCCTCTCCTCCTCCTCCTCCTCTTCCTCCTCCTCCCTCCTTCCTCCCCCTCCTCCTCCTCCTCCTCCTCCTCCTTCTCCTCCTCCTCCTCCTCCTGCTCCTCCTCCTCCCCTTCCTCCACAATTGCACAGTATGATTACTATGATCCTCTCTCCACTGATGACGTCCGGAATATGTCCGGCCCCCCTTCTGCGTATTGTTTTTCCCTACCGAGGCTCTGCCTAGAAGGGTTCTTACTCGGTTGGCTCAAAGGGGCCGGGCAGTGGAAACCGCCCCGGGCGATTCCCCAGGTTGCGCTCCCTGGGTGCTCAGCACAAGCAAAAGCAAAGGCAAAAGTGAAGGCAAAAGCGAAGGCAAAGCAAAAGCATAGCATAGCATAGCATAGCGCAGCAAAGCATAGCGCAGCATAGCATAGCATAGCATAGCATTGCCTACCCTAGCCTACGTAGCCTAGCCCAGCATAGCATTGCGCAGCATAGCATAGCAGAGCAGAGCAGAACAGAGCATAGCATAGCATAGCATAGCGCAGCACAGCATCCACTATTGCTGCTGCTATATGTATATATATATATACACACATATGTACTTATGTGTGTGTGTGTGTGCGCACGTATGTTCCATGGACGCTCCTACTAATGTTGCTGTCCTAGAGGTTCCAACTCCTAGGTAGGGTCGCACTGGGATAATTTTACACTGGATTTACGGGTGTTAGGTTTTCGCTTGGATTTGTGCTTCAAGATTGGGGGGATCTAACATGGTGGCCCCGATCTGGGACTAAGTTTTTTACGTGTCCAGGCCGCCCAAGGGGTATATGGGGATATTTGACATGGCGTCAGATTGTCCAGAGCTGGAACCACGTGGTTTCGCGTGCCCAGGCCACCCGGAAAGGTATCAAACATGGTCCCGAGCTGGAGCCATGTGTTTACTTGTGTCCAGGCCACCCAGAGGGATATCTAATACAGAGGTCCCGAGCTGGAGCCACGTGTTTTCACATGTCCAGGCCACCCAGGGGGGTATCTAACATGGTTGGCCCGAGCTGGAACCACGTGTTTTCATGTGTCCAGGCCACCCAGGGGGAAGTTCGAACATGGTGGTTTTGGGCTGGAGCCACGTTTTCACGTTTCCAAGCCACCCTGAGGGGTATCAAACATGGTTACCCCGAGCTGGAACCTTGTGTTTTCACGACCTCCGTCCCTGGGTGGCCTGGACACGTGAAAACACGTGGGCTCCCAACGCCCCAGAGCGGGACAAGCGTGAAAACACATGGGCTCAAAACGCCCCAAAG